GTTATTAATATTAACCAAAGGACAGCAAACTATGCAGAAGTAAAATGTAGTTTGGCAGTGTGTGATTTATACATGCTGGTGGAACGTATACCCACCTCTTTTTTCATCCTAGTATGCAGTTTGGTTGGTTGGTTGGTGCCTTCAAGTCAGTGTTGACTCCTGGCGATTACCTGGATGAGTTCCTGCAGTTTTCTTGGCAAGATTTCAGAAGTGATTTGCCATTGCCTCCTTCCTAGGGCTGAGAGAGTGACTGGCCCAAGGTGGCTAAGGTGGGACTAGAACTCATGGTCTCCTGGTTTCTAGTCTGATGCCTTCACCACCATACCAAACTGGCTGTCTTGTATGTAGAATACAGTTTGGTTATATATACCACCAAAACTTTTATATACCTGTAGCTATTTCCAGAGTAATCATCTCACTGATACTTCCCTAATGAATTGGTTTGAACCTTTGTAAACTATATGGTGAAGTATAAGCCTAAAAATGTTTTAAGTCACATGTTCTGAGAATTGGCCTTTTCATGCCATGCTTCGTAAGTAGATGATACAGTTTGTAATCTAGAGCTATATTCTTGTATCATTTTCCAAGTGACAGTATAGAACTATAGTAGATACTATCTGCTATATCCAAGATTTTGAGGTAGGAAATCTTATGATTAGTGATGAGTATAGATCACTAATAGTTTCTACCACATATTAGATTCAGATAGGCATAAATCTAGCTATGTACAAGCTTATTGGTAAAGGTTCTCCTAGTACCGGTTTAGAAATTTTAGTTAAAATTGTAACAATTTTAGTTGGCTTAATAAGAGTATTGGCTCTGGATTTTTTTTCCTAAAAGCCAACTTGACTTCTATTGGTTTTTCTGAATGTATGTTCCACTTTAAAACTAGGTCAGTACAGATGTAGATTCTGTTTGGAAATATGTAGCTTTTATTTTAAGCTTGAAAACTTGATAGGAATTGACATAGAAAATGTTGCTCTTTTGTGTTGCATTAATTTGATCAGTTTTTACTCCAGATAATTTAGGGAATAATAATTAAGATTATTTATTTATTAATACTACAGAAATGTACTGTGTTAGCAAACATTACAAGGGATTTTTTCCAAATTACTGGTCTGTTTAATGTTTGTTTCCCTTATCTTTAGATTTTTCATATGAGGAATTAAAAGTATTCATTTCTTCTATTCCATCCCCGTGGCTTGAAATGTTTGTTGCAGAAGCTGTGTTTAAAAATCTGTATTTCCAAAATAGCACTATTCTTTCTAATGAACTGCTTTCTCTTCAAAAAGTGGTAAGTGCCATTTGCTCATTTAATCCTATTCTAAATGTTCAAATATTTGGGCCAAATCAGGTACAATGATTCCAAGCCAGTAAAATGCAATATGACAAGAGTGATCCATACATCTGTATGCTTTCTCCCTTCTTATTCCAACTGTGTCTTACCACAGAAATCCCTGATTTGTTAAACCATAACAGTTGAACTAAAATACTATAATTTGAGAGAGATCAGCAACGCAGTGATTATTAAGTATCTGGATAACACCAGGCAGGGTACACCTATATACAGTGGGGCAAAAAAGTATTTAGTCAGCCACCAATTGTGCAAGTTCTCCCACTTAAAAAGATGAGAGAGGCCTGTAATTTTCATCATAGGTATACCTCAACTATGAGAGACAAAATGGGGGAAAAAATCCAGAAAATCACATTGTCTGATTTTTAAAGAATTTATTTGCAAATCATGGTGGAAAATAAGTATTTGGTCAATATCTACCTCAACTATGAGAGACAAAATGAGAAAAAAAATCCAGAAAATCACATTGTCTGATTTTTAAAGAATTTATTTGCAAATCATGGTGGAAAATAAGTATTTGGTCAATATCTACCTCAACTATGAGAGACAAAATGAGAAAAAAAATCCAGAAAATCACATTGTCTGATTTTTAAAGAATTTATTTGCAAATCATGGTGGAAAATAAGTATTTGGTCAATATCTACCTCAACTATGAGAGACAAAATGAGAAAAAAAATCCAGAAAATCACATTGTCTGATTTTTAAAGAATTTATTTGCAAATCATGGTGGAAAATAAGTATTTGGTCAATATCTACCTCAACTATGAGAGACAAAATGAGAAAAAAAATCCAGAAAATCACATTGTCTGATTTTTAAAGAATTTATTTGCAAATCATGGTGGAAAATAAGTATTTGGTCAATATCTACCTCAACTATGAGAGACAAAATGAGAAAAAAAATCCAGAAAATCACATTGTCTGATTTTTAAAGAATTTATTTGCAAATCATGGTGGAAAATAAGTATTTGGTCAATATCTACCTCAACTATGAGAGACAAAATGAGAAAAAAAATCCAGAAAATCACATTGTCTGATTTTTAAAGAATTTATTTGCAAATCATGGTGGAAAATAAGTATTTGGTCAATATCGCCCGGGCGGTGTGTTTGGGATTATTGTCATGCTGAAAGACTAAGTGACCAAATACTTATTTTCCACCATGATTTGCAAATAAATTCTTTAAAAATCAGACAATGTGATTTTCTGGATTTTTTTTCTCATTTTGTCTCTCATAGTTGAGGTATACCTATGATGAAAATTACAGGCCTCTCTCATCTTTTTAAGTGGGAGAACTTGCACAATTGGTGGCTGACTAAATACTTTTTTGCCCCACTGTATATAAAATTAATCTTGCCTCTCATAATACTGTCTTACCTTGGCTCTATTGCCTGCCCATCACTATCCTCAGCAACGAGTCTTTCCATTCTGTCCTAAAGTTCTATGCCACAAATTTCCTGGGGCATTTCAATCCCTTTTACTGTTTGCCTTTTCCCTCATCTCTCTTTCTCTCTCCTGTTGTGAATCTATCTGTTTATCAGAAGCCCTGTTGTGTGGATTGCAGAAATCCCCAACCCCATCTTCTTGAGGGAGAGATGTTCTCTGTGGTGTACGTAAAGAAGCTACCCCAGTATAGAGAACCACAAAGAGGATCTTGGAGAAACTATATGATGGCAATTAGCAAAACATGATTTAAAACTATGATTAAAGCCATGATTTAAGGAAACATTAAAAAGAAGCTCAAAACTGGCTTTGCCTTGAGTAAGGGAGGGAGGGAGGGAAAATGTTGTCAAGCTTTCAGAACTTTGTTACTATACCCTATATCAGGAAAACAGAGTTCCAGTATTACTTGTGCAGTCTGTTTCTTGACCTGGTCTGCATTGAAGGACTGACATCCAACTGAGCATGAAAATATTATTTGTATTTATAATCATCTTATGATTTGTAATACATTGAAATTCCCATCTTGTGGTCTACTTAGAGCATTATATTTTCTTTTGGAATTTTCCTTTTAAGTTGGCAAGTGTATTACTCTGATATGAACAGCTCTGTCATTTATCTGTACTGTACCAACATTGACTATTTGCAATTTAATGTTTGAAGTTCAAAAGGAAGTTATGCTTTCTCTTAGTTTGATTTTGTTTGGTGAAGGGAAGGAAGGCTGAATCATATGCACTATACATCTCTACACTACTCAGCCATGAGATTCCACAGTGGAAATTACTATACTTTTTGCATGTTTTAGTCACCAGAAAGGCAGCCCAGTGTGAGAGACCAGTCTCCTTCACACACTAGCGAGGTGATGCCTGGAAGGCAGATGATGGCCAGCCCCCCTCCTCTTTGAAACAGGAAGCAGGGCTAGGGTAAAAACCCAGAAGACTTCTGAGCGGGGAGGTTGAGACCTCTAACTTTCCATGTTACAGACTTAGCTGTTCTGCTGCACCTTCAGATTTCCTTATCTGAGACTTTGTGTTTCTTATTCATCTTCCTCTTATCTCAGCCATTTTATTTGCTCGTACCCTTATCTTCTGTGGCCCTAATTTAACATTAATTTAATGTTAAACGGACCTGGAAATGGACTAAATAATTATAGCACACGTGAAAATTTAGGCACTCCAGATCAAATTATATGTTTAATTTTAATTAAATAATTGTAGTTGCACGTGAAAATTTAGGCACTCCGGGTCAAATTATATGTTTCCTAAGGGAACATAGACTAATACAACCAGTTTGTATAAGGTACAAAGAAAAACACAACAGCCTTCTCCAAATATGAAAGCATATTGGTTCCCTTATTTTTAACATCCTTTAATTCTTTGTTCTATTTTGATTTTTATATTTTTAATGTATTTATTGACTGTTTTTAGCTTTGTTGTATGCCACCCAGAGTTGCCTGCGGTGAGATGGGTGGCTATATAAATTGGTTTAATAAATAAATAAATATTTTGTATTTACGTGCAGTTGTTATAGGCAACAAACGCATAAAAAGATGAAGTATGTACTGCAAACACATGACACACATTTTGCCATTGCCTGACACCTTCCCTGCAGATACCCATACTTCATATTTTGCTCTGAAGTTTTGGAACAACAGCCCACAATTTTTCATTTGACAAAAGATAATGGTCTTCCTTACTATTCCTCTTAAATAATTCTTCTCAAAAGCTAGAATATGTGGGAAAGAGTTCCCGACAGATATTATTGACATAAAGTTTAGCTTACCTTGGCTGCTAATAATCCTGGATTATAGGTAGGCAGAGGAAAGTAACACTGCATTTCCCTGCTCCAGGTGAGCAAATCATCACTTTATATATTCTTCACCTAGTTTAGGCATCTTCCAGTAAGATAATCATCATGGTAGGAATGCCAGTAGAGAAGATTGCAACAGACTAGAGCTTTACTTCTTTTCTTCAGTTTATATGGGTTGCATCTAACTGTTTCCTTACTGTTAATGGAAGGCTTGGGAGGGTCTCTGGTTCAATTGAGGCTTCTGTGAAGAAGCTACGGTAGGTGACGTTTTCAATTTCTCCTTTTCTGTCATTTCCACACCACTTTCTGTGGTATTCTGAGACAAATTGCAGGGAGGGAGGCATCACAGAGTTGCAGAAGGAAAGAGGAAAATAAAAATCATCCTTTTTCTTAGTCCTGTTTAGATCAATCTCCACTGAATCAAAAAGCCTTCTGGGAACAGAACATATTGAATGTATAAAAGAAAGTGTTTAAACATTAACCTTAAAAAAGATAAGTGATTGCTAAACCGCACATTCTCTCCTTCCTGTAGAAAGTGTCGAAAATATCGGCAAAAGGCCTAGATTCAGTCCTGCTTGAAGAACAGTGCAGTAGACTGAAGGCTACATTATGATACTAGTACAATGTTATCACAGTCAGTAAAGGGCAAGTCTATGTAAATTTCTCAAGCTACTTTTTTCCCTTCCATTTTTGTGCTATAGCAGATTAAGTCGCTTTGAACTCCCATTAATGGGTATAAAAGCAGAAGGAATGTTTTCCATGGGAGTTGCTTTTACAACTTTTGTATTATTAGAAAGTAAACTCAGGCCATGATTACCTGAAATTATTTAAAGATAATTAGCTTTAAATGCA